AAACCTCAACCCCCGCAAGCACAAATAGGTGAGTACAGATAGGCAAATAGGCGAGTACACACACACACACACACATTATATATATATATATATATATATATATATATATATATATATATATATATATATATATATATATATATATATATAAATTGTTCCCTCCCTCCCTATAATTGTCCTCCATTGCCTCTAATGGGTTATGTGTGGTTTCCTCCCAGGTTAAGGGTCCCTTTCATCCAGCCAGAGGTGGTACTCCCTTCCCTTTTGTTATATATATATATATATATATATATATATACAACTTTAGAACACTTTCCCACCAGGAGACTCGAACCCTAGCCAGCACAGAAGCCTTCCAGCAACTGGCATAACAGGTACGCCTTAACCCGCTCCACCACCTGCTCAGACCCCTAAAAGAGAGGAGGAGCGGGTTAAGGCGTACCTGTTATGCCAGTTGCTGGAAGGCTTCTGTGCTGGCTAGGGTTCGAGTCTCCTGGTGGGAAAGTGTTCTAAAGTTGTATACTTAACTCTCGTGTTTAGGAGAGTTGTGCCTTATATATATATATATATATATATATATATATATATATATATATATATATATATATATATATATATATATATATATATATAATAGCCACAAGAAGACCCAGCAGCACCACCCAGCCCCCAGGCCAAACTCTCCATCCCCTGAGAAAGGTAAGAAACTTGCCAGGAAGCCTCCAGCCTCTCCAGGTGCTCGGCGAGGCTCGTCATGTCCTGTCTACAAGGTGGGAGAAAACCCGGGAACCTTCACCCGTTAACAGTCATGAAGGAACTCACCAGTGAAGACAATGAAAGGTACATACAGGCATAGGGGGGGCCTGACGGCTGAGTGGACGGCGCTCGGGATTCTTAGTCCTAGGGGTCCGAGGATCCCCGGCGAAGGCGGAAATAAATGGGCAGAGTTTATTTCACCCTGGTGCTCCTGTTCACTTATATTCAGGGTTTACAGGTTTACGTACTGGCTGGTCAGTAAGCTATTGTGGTGGTCTCTATGCACCTCTAAGTCCACCTTTCCCCGCGAGCGTACACGAGGGGAACGTTTGCGGGTCCGCGTTCTATACCCGATGGTCTAAGACACTGGGACGCCATTCCTTCCCTCCGTCCTACCCCATCGTTATGCTCGTATCCCTTCCAAGTGGAATATAGTCGTAATGACTTAGCGCTTTTTCCTGATAATGACCTTATCTTGCAAAATATACTAAGTTACTTGTGGTTTGATGATAGATAAAACAACAATTTATAGAATGATATATAATAGTGGATTGCAATACAGCTATTGGCTAACTATTGCAAGCACAAATCAAGTGACAGCACTGAATAAAACGCAATTGATTAATGCTCTTGTGTCAATTAAACAAACATGTTGATATTTAAAATGGTGCAGCGTAAATAAAACTTAATTTAAATTGTATTTAAATGTTGAACAGTGACATCGGCTTTTGTATATCTATTCAAATATATTTTTTTTCCTATCAGATAAAATGTGACTTTGTTTGGTAGATAATTTGAGAACCTTTTGTGACAGTTTGGATCTGGCCATTTTAGAGGTCTGGAGTTTGACTGAAGTACTTTGAGATCCAGTGCAGAGTATTTTTCTTGTGTCTTTCAATATCAAAGTCAAAATGAATGATATTTGCCATGACGTAGTTGAGGTGGTGTGGTAATAGGGCACCACCACCACCACCACCACCACCACCACCACCACCAGCTCCACCAGAACCACCACCAAATCCCACCTGCTCAAGCCACCAGCTCCAGTCACCAGCACCACCACCAGCACCTCTGGCGCCGCCACCACCACCACCACCACTGGCGCCGCCACCACAACCACCACCACCACTGGCGCCGCCGCCACCACCACCACCACCACCACCACTGGCGCCGCCACCACCACCACCACCACCACCACTGGCGCCGCCGCCACCACCACCACCACTGGCGCCGCCACCACCACCACCTCTGGCGCCGCCACCGCCACCAGCAGCGCCATCAGATGTTGGTAAACAGAGCGGCCGGCCGGGTCCCCACCACCCCAGGGAACAGGTTTTTGCAAGGTCGCCCTTAACACGCCACACAACGCCAGCATTTTGTCTCCTTTCCTCCTTCCCTCTCTGCCTTCCCATTCTCTCTCTTCCTCCCCTCTTCCCCTCATCCTTGCCTCTTCCTCTCATTATTACCTCTTCCTCTCTTCCTTGTCTCTCCCTTTCATCCTTGTCTCTTCTTTGGGTTATAATTTAACTCTTTAACGTTCGAATTCTTGGTCGAATCTGGCTTTTAAACTTGTGTATGGAGGTGGCTTCCTTAACTACCTCTTTCCGTGCATTCCACTTGCTGACCACCCACACAGGGTACGAGGATTTCCTTACATTTCTTCAACTCGTTTGCGTTTCCAGCGTCCATTTATGTCTTCTTGTTTTACTTTCTTTCAGTGTAAAGAGGCTTTCCTTGAACAACTTGTCTACTCCCCTCAGTATCTTGTATGTTGTAATCATTTCTACCCTTGTTTTCTCGCGGATTCCATGCCGGTGCTGCGTATTCCAGTGTTGATCTAACAAAAGCTGTGTAGATTGCTTTGAATCCTCATTTAGGTTTCTAAACAACGTTGTCATGTGTGACTGCGTCTCTATATGCTGGTGATGTTGCCATGTTTATGGGCCTTCGGTATCAGTGGCCCAATTATATCCACTCAAATTTTTATATTTCCAACGCTTAGGTATTTTATACGTCTCTATCATGTCCCCCATTCTCTCTCCTCGTTTCTAGCATCGTCAGTTTTACTTCCTTCAATCTCTCGTCAAATCCCATCCCTCGTAATCCTGGGACGAGCCTTGTTGCAAACTTCTGAACCTTTTCCAGTTTCCTTATGTGTTTTTCAGGTGTGGGCTCCACAATGGAGCGGCATACTCTATAACTGGTCTCACGTAGGTGGTTTATAGCGATCATTATACCTCCTTATTTAGGTGCCTAGATGTTCTAAAGTTTGCTAAGTGACGCTGCTGATGGTATCCAGTTTAGATGAGCCTCCTGAGTTTGGTGCGGTGCTATATCCACTTCCAAGTTTTTTGTGTGTAGTCGTTATAGGAAGGAATAGTTTCCCGTCACTGTATATAGTAGTTTTGGACTATCTTGAGGTTATCTTGAGGTTATCTTGAGATGATTTCGGAGCATAGTGTCCACGCGGCCCGGTCCTCGACCAGGACTCCACTTCCAGGAAGCAGCCCGTGACAGCTGACTAACTCCCAGGGTACCTATTTATTGCTAGGTAACAGGGGCATCAGGGTGAAAGAAACTCTGCCCATCGTTTCTCGCCGGCGCCCGGGATCGAACCTGGGACCACAATATCACGCGTCCAGTGTTCTGTCCGCTCAGCCACTGACTCCCTCCTGTCACCTATTTCCTTTTCCATCACCTTACACTTGCTGATGTTGAACTCTAGTAGACATCGCTGGGACCAACTCTGCAGATTGTTTCGGTTATCGTGGAGTATTTTACACTCATCATCAGTCACAACTGATGAGTAGTGCATCTCATTACTCTTGCATCGTCCTCAAACACCCTGTCCATGGAGGACAGAAGAAAATGTATATATGTTGGTTAGCATTGTAAATGTGTGGCCACGTTTGTGGTAGAAAAAAAAAAATTGACATATAAGAGTCAATTCCTGTTCTTAGTTCGTTTACACAAATGAGAAATAGTATGGTTTCCAGCACCGGGAGCCGGTCGGCCGAGCGGACAGCACGCTGGACTGTGATCCTGTTGTTGAGCTTTACTCTTTCGACCCGCCTCTCAACTGTCATGAATCAACGATAATTTTTTTTCCACACGCACACCCCCCAGGAAGCAGCCCATAACAGCTGTCTAACTCCCAGGTACCTGTTTACTGCTAGGTAAAAGGGGCATCAGGGTGAAAGAAACTCTGCCCATTTGTTTTCTGCCATAGCCGGGGCTCGAATCGCGGTCCTCAGAATTACGAGTTCTGAGTGCTGTCCACTCAGCCACCAGGCGTCCAAAGGCGTGTGTGTGTGTAATTACCTAAGTGTAATTACAGGATGAGAGCTACGCTCGTGGTGTCCCGTCTACCCAGCACTCTTTGTCATATAACGCTTTGAAATTACTGAAGGTGTTGGCCTCCACCACCTTCTGTGTGTGTGTCTGTGTACTCACCTAATTGTACTCACCTAATTGTGCTTACGGGGGTTGAGCTCTGGCTCTTTGGTCCCGCCTCTCAACTGTCAATCAACAGGTGTACAGGTTCTTGAGCCTATTGGGCTCTATCATATCTACACTTAAACTGTGTATGGAGTCAGCCTCCACCACATCACTTCCTAATGCATTCCATTTGTCAACCACTCTGACACTAAAAAAATTCTTTCTAATATCTCTGTGGCTTATTTGGGCACTCAGTTTTCACCTGTGTCCCCTAGTGCGTGTGCGCCTTGTGTTAAATAGCCTTTCTTTATCTACCCTATCGATTCCCTTGAGAATCTTGAATGTGGTGATCATGTCCCCCGTAACTCTTCTGTCTTCCAAATAAGTGAGGTTTAAGTCCCGTAGTCTCTCCTCGTAGCTCATACCTCTCAGCTCGGGTACTAGTCTGGTGGCAAACCTTTAAATCTTTTCCAGGTTAGTCTTATGCTTGACTAGATATGGACTCCATGCTGGAGCGGCATACTCCAGAATTGGTCTGACATATGTGGTATATAATGTTCTGAAAGATTCCTTACACAAGTTTCTAAATGCCGTTCTTATATTAGCCAACCTGGCATATGCTGCTGATGTTATCCTCTTGATATGAGCTTCAGGGGACAGGTCTGGCGTGATATCAACCCCCAGGTCTTTCTCTCTCTCTGACTCTTGAAGTATCTCATCTCCCAAATGATACCTTATGTGTGTGTGTGTACAGGAGACAGCATTTTTAACCCTTAATTGAGCATGAGTTACTCTTGGACTCTCAGCTATGCAAGAGTTCCACTGCGACCGTAGAACTGGTGCCGAAGCCCATCATTGGGTTCCCACCCTCTCACGGGGCGTGGATTTCCAAGGTTACGAACCCGTGTTTTAGTGTAGAGTCAGCAGAGTTATTAAATCCAAAATCTTCCACAGCTTCGTCTAGGATTTGTGTAATTACAGACAAGTAGTTGATTAAACTATTTGCCTTATAATATTGTCATAGTCAATTATTCCTCTCACACCTGATTAGCTATCTTGAGGTTATCTTGAGATGATTTCAGGGCTTTAGTGTCCCCGCGGCCCGGTCCTCGACCAGGCCTCCACCCCCAGGAAGCAGCCCGTGACAGCTGACTAACACCCAGGTACCTATTTTACTGCTAGGTAACAGGGGCATAGGGTGAAAGAAACTCTGCCCATTGTTTCTCGCCGGCGCCTGGGATCGAACCCGGGACCACAGGATCACAAGTCCAGTGTGCTGTCCGATCGGCCGACCGGCTCATAACTCATAAGCTAACTGTAGATTTATTTGAACTCGGGGTCTTGGTAATGAATCATAATTCCCGCTTATCGGGGCCAACATCTGATCTTTCTCAGGATGCAGCTCACAATAGCCGCCTGACTCCCGTGTGCCTATTTTTCTGCTAGATAAATAGGTGCGTCAGGTGAAAAGAAAGTTTGCCGAACCATTTCGGTCCTATCAGAGAACTGAACCCTCTGTTGCAAACCGAGAAATACGATTTGCTCTTCTCAGCATTGGCTAATCACCACAAGTCACCCTTGACCTTCTCGACTTGAGGAGCACTCATACACTCACTCATAAAGGTAACAACCCACCCAACCTCTTTGTATACCGACCCTTTACTAGCCAGGTATACTGCAGTCTACCCTCGGGAGACGTCGCTTACACACCGAGTCCCTCTGCTGGTTTTCTGTAGCGGCTTCCAGCAGCGCGGGAGAGGGACGGGGCCGGTGACGCCTCGCCGCTCTCCAGTACACCTCCGCACGACGCTCCGGATTAGAGGGGTCTGGCGGCCACTTTGGATTTGTTTTGCTCTTGCGAATTATGGGCGGGGAATATATACGTAAACACAGGAGTCATTATGGAGATCGGGTGACGGGCTCAATGCCCAAGACGCCGACTAGTTTACGACCGTCAGACGGGGCGGGAGTGGGCGGGACGCTTGCCCAACGTCGGCCAGCTCGTGTCTCCCGCCAGTGGGCATATGACGTTGATGGAACGTTTATTTAACGTTGATACTCCGTTGATTTGACGTTACTTGTCCCATCCCAAATCCTTATCCTGACCCCTTCCCAGTGCTATAATGTCGTAATGGCTTGGCGCTTTCCCCTGATAATTCACTTCCCTCCCCCCCCCCTGTTACCTAGCAGTAAATAGGTACCTGGGAGTTAGACAGCTGCTATGGGCTGCTTCCTTGGGGGTGTGTAACAAAAAGGAGGTCTGGTCGAGGACCTGGCCACGGGGACGCTAAGCCCAGAAATCATCTCAAGATAACCTCAAGATAACCTTCCGCCAAGGAAGCCAACTACTGACCTTCCGTAGGATGCAATACGACGACAACTCCCGATTACCTATTTTACTACTAGGAGAACAGAGACATTAGGTGAAAGATAACGTGCACAACCGTTTCTGCCCCCCCCCCCCCATTCACATCGAACACGCACCTCTAGGCTGTGAGTCGAAGACGTAGACCACTATGTATGTTGACCAAACCACACACTAGAAGGTGAAGGGACGACGACGTTTCGGTCCATCCTGGACCATTCTCAAGTCGATTTATTTCAGCCACGTTATTGTGACTCCTCGTCCACTATGTATTGAAATTGAAATAAGTTTATTGAGGTAAAATACACACAAAGGGATGAGGTAGCTCAAGCTATTCTCACCCCGTTCAGTACATCGTGTTAATACATACATAGACACACATCACAAACAATAAACATTTTAGCAAACATTCTGAGGGATAAACATACATTTCCTACTATGTATGGTGTCGCGTGGGTTGAGTCAGGTCCGGTGAGTGATCCGTGTCACAGGAGACGTAATCTATTCATCTTTAGAGTGACGTGTTGCTGCAGATAATCAAGATTAACACTGGACACTGGTTAACATTTAACTGCATTTGTCACTTAAACGCACTGGACTTTTAACTAATACCTAATATACTAATACCTACTTTTAAAGTTATCATACCTTAATTATTAAGATCCGTCTATTTCAGTACCTTCTGCCTTACCAGTTGACCTCGCATCACTGACCTTTGACCTATTTTGGTCGATAAAACCCTGGATGGGGAGTGAGAGAGGGAGGATAGGGAGAGAGGGGGCGTGTAGGAGGGTGAGGAGGGGATGGAGGTCGTGGGAGGAGGAGGGAGGAGGTTGAGGTAAGTTCACATAGGTGTACTTACCTGTTTGTGCCTGTAGGATCGGGCTCTAGCTCTTCGACCACGCTTTTCTAGCTACCGGTTGTCTAATGCAATGATTCCTGACCTATTTCCTTATCATACCTACTTTTAAAGTTATGAATGGAACATAATCTACTCTATGCAGGCGATGAGTCACAATAACGTGGCTATGACCAGACCACACACTAGAAGGTGAAGGGACGACGACGTTTCGGTCCGTCCTGGACCATTCTCAAGTCGATTGTGAAACGTCGTCGTCCCTTCACATTCTAGTGTGTGGTCTGGTCATCATAATCTACTCCAACCTACTCTCTTAGTTCATTCCATTTTCCCACTATTACGCTCAAAGAAAAATTTCGAAACAGTACTTACCTAACTGTGTCTACGGGGAAGTGAAGTCTAGCTCTTCATGTCCCGCCTACCAGCCTTGTTGTACCTGTTGCGTCACATTTTCACTATTCTGATGTTCAAATTCTTCGTTGAATTTGACCTTCAAGTTGTGGATGGAGGTGGCTTCCACAACTTCTTCTTCCATTTGTTAAGCACCCGTACATGGGTACCAGTACTTCCTTACATTCCTTCGAAATTGAAATTGAAATTGAAATAAGTTTATTGATGTAAAATACACACAAAGGGATGAGGTAGCTCAAGCTATTCTTACCCCGTTCAGTACATCGTGTTAATACATACATATAAACACATCACAAGCAATAAACATATTACCAAACATTCTGAGAGATAAACATCTACATTTCCTCCTTTACACAAGTAGTTTGGTACCAGACGTACACAAATACTTTTATGACCTAGGTATACTTTCGAAATGGAGGGTGGTGTGAGTGGGTGAATGGGTTAAATAGGTGTGGGGAAGGGATTAGGAGGTGGGGAGGCGATTAAGAGAAAGAGAGAAAAGTTTGTGGTTTGATTAATGAGAAAGGGAGGTGCCGAGGGCAGGATAAGTAAGATAATTATCAATAAAGTCAATGTGACAGAAAGAAATATGATGACAAGGAACTGGAGCAGACGAGTGAAGGAAATGTGCACACCAACTTGCAATGAGGAGGTTATCTTGAGATTCTTCTTGAGATGATTTCGGGGCTTTAGTGTCCCCGCGGCCCGGTCCTCGACCCAGCCCCCATCCCCAGGAAGCAGTCCGTGACAGCTGACTAACACCCAGGTACCTATTTTACTGCTAGGTAACAGGGGCATACGGTGAAAGAAACTCTGCCCATTGTTTCTCGCCGACGCCTAGGATCGAACCCAGGACCACAGGATCACAAGTCCAGTGTGCTGTCCGCTCGGCCGACCGGCTCCCTCAATCAGGAGGGAGGATCAAACCCCGACTTTTCAAGAAGCGAGGGCGTCAGGAAGGGATGGGAGGGAAGTTGGACTTGATGGGAGAGGGGTGGGAGAGCTGTGGGAGTGGGGTGGGAAGGTAGAATGTGATAGTGGGGGGGGGGGGGACACGGTGATTTATGATGTAGAACCCTGTGAGACTTGCCTAGACCGATTTAGCTCGCTGTAACAACGCAGCTCTCGATCAACAATATAATTAAGCCATGACCCCTGACCTCGTCTCCTTCAACTCTGGAATGCAAAACAATATGCAGGAGAATGCTGCTATATTAGGCTGTAACGATAATGGACAGATCAGATCATGCTAGATAGACGGGCAAACGTCATGACGCGAGAATGATGCAGATGTGCAATTAAACAGAGGAGATACTGGTGGCATAACAGCAGATGATCAAGGAAAAAAGACAGACGGATTCTCACAGCCGACAGACAGAAGGATAGAAACATACACACGCACCAAAAGCGAATAGCAGAAGGTCAGATAATGTTTACAGAGAACACAAAGGGAATACAACTATGAGACAAAACAACACAAGACATAATGGTGTTCATAACTAGCCAAGGCAAAGAAGCTGAACGACGTTGACCAAACCACACACTAGAAAGTGAAGGGACGACGACGTTTCGGTCCGTCCTGGACCATTTCCAAGTCGATTATGAATCGACAAGCCACACAATCGACTTGATAATGGTCCAGGACGGACCGAAACGTCGTCGTCCCTTCACTTTCTTTGGTTGTGGATTGGTCAACATATTTCAGCCACGTTATTGTGACTCCTCGTCTGCAAGCTGAACGAAGATTTATACCGCCCCTGAGGAATAAAGGAGGCAAGACAAAATTGCCAATGATTTAATAGACAATGTTTTGAGGCAAAAAGGAAAAATTCAAGAGCTTGGAAAAAATACTTGGAACACAGAACAGAGAACCACAACACATGTACCAGAGAGAGAGAGGAATGATACACATGAACTGGGAGAGAAGCAGTATGAGAAAGATATAGCATCCAAGGCCGAAGATAAGCTTAAACTATAGCAGTATGAGGAGGAAAATGTCGGTAAATGAACACGTGATAAGGCTACACAAAGAATAAGGAAGTGTGCGAAGAACTCTTTAAAAGTTTCCAGGAAGTTTAAAGTTTGAACCAGAACTGTCTCCAGATCTACGAGTTGTTATGGAACAGGTGCTCCCAGAAGACTGGATGAAATACAAATAACACTAGAGGAAGAAGACAATTAAAAGGAGCTGAAGGTGATGAAAGCCACGTGCCCTGACAAGATCTCACCCTGGAGAGGCAGCTGCAGCACTGTGTGTACCCCTTGCTACCCCTTCAAC